AATCGCAGAAATGCACTGAGGCAAAACAAAAAATGTCTTTTGTACCAAAAGGAGCCGTTGGCCAAAACAGCCAAAAAAAAACACACTTAGGAGAGCCCAGGTATATAGTATATAATGTGTATTCAATATTCGCTATCGATGACTCAATTGATAAGCTTTGTTTGGGGCTTGCGTGGTCCCCTTGGGAGACTTCGAATTAGACCCACACGGCGAACAAACCCCATAGCTGCCGCTCCATCTGCGCCACTTGCAAAGCCGCGGCTTTCCGGAGTGTCTCCTAGCGCGTAAAGGGGACTCAAACCAGGGCATTGTCCGATCTGTTTCCCCAGCGAAAGAAAGGTGTGACTCCAATGAATGGACCCCCAACATGTTACATGCTTGCGGTTTCCAACAAATCCACGATCACGGAAAGGGCTTTTTCGTCAAGAAGAACTCCCCCTTTTGTCGGTTTCATGTCGCTGGAAAGTGGTAACATGTTTTTTTCCTTGTGACTCTGGATGACTTGGTACACTCAGCAGGGAATGAGACATGGCTCATGACCCCAAGAAAAACAAAAAACAACCCCTTGCTGGTGGTTTCCTTCATAAGGAAACGGGTTCATTCCATTTCTCATTGCCTACCTATCGCAGAGGTCTGGATGAAGGAGAGCCGCTTTGGGTTTCAAGCTGAAGAGTCGATGTGTCGAGGTAGGGGGCACTGAAAACTCCCCTTGAGCTTTGGTGCCAGAAACAGAATCGGAGATCTCGGGGTGTATCCGAGGAATGTATTATGCCTGAAGGGCTGCCTTCAAGTCAGAAAACTTCAAGTGCCCGTGGAGGGTGCGGCAAAATGAATCCCACACGGATTCAAACAACAAAGAGAGCGAACTTACGTTGAAAAACACCTGACATATTCATTATATAAGGGGTCTACCCAACACCATGTCAAGAAGCAAGCAGGTGATTGAACCGCGAGGCCCAACATGCCTTGCCAACCCCAAGAACCCTTGGCCAACGCCAAGAGTTGGCCGTTGCAATGTTCGTCCATCCCAGCAAGAAATCCTGGCTGGAAGTACCAAAGGCCGTATCCATATTTGCCCTTGAGACTTCCCTTCCGGTCGTCAATTCTGTTCAAAACGTCCAGGTGAACAATTCTCTAGTTTCTCAGAGGCTCCTCCTTCTCCTGGTTTCGGGCACTTTTGGTAGAGCTGCACCGCTGCAACAGCTCCCGCCCCTGGGACGCCGGTCAAGGATCCATTTACTCGATGCCTCTGCTTGCTGGTGCTCAGTAGGGAATGACCCAGAGTTCTGGGAATAAACCCAGAAATCCCCTTAAAGGAAACCAACCGGGATGGTTTATACAAGGGTCAATCCCTCAACAAGTGCTGAGCACCAGCAAGTCTTTTCAAATCCTGTTGTGTCCAACATGAACCATGTCACGCTGCTGGCAGCATGTTCGCCATGCTGGACTAGCGTCTCGGCAGCTTTAAGAGAGAAGCCAGGAAGCAATGTGAGGAGTGTTCTGAAATTCCCTCTGGCAGCTGGTGGCTTCAAGCACAACTTGAGGAATCCTGCGCGAAGGTTCAACATATTCATTATTTACATATATATATATATATATATTCACGTACCTTAGTCAATAATTGATGTTTACGTGAATATGTTGTTTGTTTGAGGACACGGAGAATAGCAACAAAGTCTTCAATAGCTTCCAAGTCTTCAAATGTTGCCGTGAAGGAACCCTTGGCGTCAGGTGTTTGGGTCTTTCTTTCTGGCAGGGGGACATGGAGGTACCAACAAGAGGGGGTGCCTTGGTGATCCTTTTTGTTGGTGTTGGTCCCATTCGGGTCTTGCTCCTTGGGGATCAAAACACAAGGCACAGTGTCGAATGTGGACCTCTGTGGACATGTGGGCAGTCTTGGTTTATCTAGTAAGTATTCCTTGGCAAGGGCACCAGCTGCTTGATTCATTGATTGCATTATGCAATTCCAAACACCGATGGCTCTGCTGATGCTATGCCTCATCGGAGGAATGAAGTGGAATTTCCCCAATTCCCAGTTGCCCAGTGACTGTGGCAACTGGCGTGTTTTGGGTGGGGCTCAAAATAAACCCGCTGCGGTTATGCAGCTTTTCGTCTTTCCCATGCACCGGTGATTCCATTTTGGGGATTCCATTGGAGCCCAGGGGAGCCCAAGTGGCCCCTTGATTCGAGCCTCCAGCTTTGTGCTGACCCAGCCCTTTGGAGGGCCGCTGCCTTCCAGCAGCCTGGCGCTGAGAATTCCAGCTTGACTAGGTCATTCTGTAGAGAGGTTAGAATAAGGATACCATTGTTTTTCTGTAGTCTATTTTACCAGGGGAATCCTCCCAGACAGGGTAAAAGGGCACTACTGGGGGACCTAGTTGAGATTCGTTGGATGCTCTCGCCACAGGCAACGGTGATCCATCACTAGCGTGTTTCCGAGCGTATTGCAACGTGGGGTGATGTACAGATTGAGAGAATTTCAACCTCAGGCAAGGTGATCTCACCATAGAAAACGATCACCTCTAAGTGACCATACCTGACTTTTCTTGAACTTCCAAGTACTTCATCCATGCAGATCTGTCCGGGCCGAGGCAACCACAGTTGCCAAGGCAACAACACTTGCCGTAAGATTCGTACAGTAAGGTTTGTGGTAAAAAGAAAGGCCCATCTGTCGAGGCGAGTTATGAACCTAAAACAGCCTGCACTCCGAGGCTGAAACCAAAGATAGTTTTATGAACACTGGCAGCTCTGCGCTTCTTCCTTATTCCTCGTCCATTAAGCTGGCAGCCAGCTTCACTGGCATCAAGAACACGTGACCATTTCCAACCCCAGCAAAACCGCGTCTGAGAAGTCACAAAGAGGAATATCTTGCATTCGAGCGGCTAAGTCTTTCACGATTGTAAGTGACGTTGCAGACATGGTTCTCGGCCAGGCAACAGGCCCCTATGGCCGTCATCAAACTCTTAGGAAAAAGGAGGCTTTGTTTTGTCTTGTCTTGATGTGCAACAATCGCTCCCCCTGGGAACATCTTAGCATATTCTAGGGGCATTCCTCTTTCAATATTCCATCCGAGTAACCTGTAGTGGAGCCGCTCCCCATCCAGCTCGACCTCCTCTACAACAGAGCCTGGGCTGACGGGCCACGTCGAAAATGTTCGCTGAAGCTAGGGAAGCCACTGGGAGAAATGTCCTACCCAAGGGAGCAGCGACCAAACCGTGAGGTGACTTTGGGTTCTGGCATGTAAGGTTTTTGGCGGGACTACTAAAATCCCTCAAACAAAACGCAGGTTGTCGGGGTTTTGGCCCTCAATTGATCCTCACTCGGTTCACGGAGTGGGGGCCCTGGGCTCATTGGCTGAGTTGAGACAGTTGGAAACAATCAGTGCCATCTGGAACACCATCTCTGCATTTACGAACATGAGCTCCAGCGATTGTTCAATGAATTCCCATCTTTGGCATTAAACAAAACACATGTTGTGTCAGTCTTACTTACTATGATTAAATACTCGTATGTGACATGCTTCCTTGTTGGCCATTGCTTGTATGCATTTGGTGGCAACACGGTAACACGCCCGAGATCAATCAAGACAATCATCGAGGGATCAGTTTGAGTGCAGTCTCCATGGGGATGGTTGCAGCATCAAGGAATCGCTGGCTGAAAGTAGCACGCTAGAGGATCTCGTGGGCAGGAACAAGTTTTCCCGCAAGCATAGCCAAGACATGTCTGACTTGAAAAGCAACCACGCATCTCTGGCGCTGTGCAGGAACACATGCCAGCGGCGTCACAAGCACGAGAAGTCGCATGATGCAAATTAATGAATCAGCAATTCTGTCAGCAGAGAAACAGATTTGCGCTGCCTCCATCAAATAACCCTAATAGAAAAGGTGTGTTCCGAATGGTCCTGGCAGCTGTTAAACCTGATAAACGGAAGCAAACAAGCACCTTGAGCGATTGAATAGGATCTGACAGGCAGAAGCAAACGATACAGAAACCGAGGAGCCCAGAAACCGGAATGTGTACAGAATGTGAACAAACACCAGTGCGCATTGAAGAAGAGTAAACAGCATGGCTCATAAAAGATATGGTGTGGCCGAGTTCCGTCATGCGTAGCTGCTTGAGAGTAACACATGTTCAAACTGGCTCGGTAGATTTGAATTGGCTTGCGAATGAGCTGCTTCTCACAGCTTGTCATAAGACTCTTCTAACTATACTCTGCTGAAACGCGGAACAGGTGGACTGAGGCAAACTTGTCATGTCGAGTTGGTAAAGCCAATTTGGTGATCTCCCATGTGGCTGCGGGTCAAAAATAGGTACCCAAAATGGAACCCTGGTAAGTGGCCACATGGACCAAAACCTGCGGTCCCCTAGTGGTTTAATCTTGACCCACACCCATTAAACTAATAGGTAATCTCCTACTCAGCGCAGCAACAAGGAGAACGAGTCCACGAGGTGTATCCTGGCTCCTCACGTGCCGTCCGCCTTCTACCAAATGAAGCTACAAGAACATCCGCCGGGCTGCACAAGCGCCGACCAACAACCTCTTGAATACTTGGGTGTTGTAGGGAAAGCCTCAACGAGGCAACTAACTTGAAGTTCTTAGTCGGGCTTCCAGATGTCCGCTGGTTCGCGAGCCTTAGCCCCCCAGCCAGTACGCAAGCGCTGCTGCTCCCGCTGAGAGCCTGTGAAAACCAAATGCATGCTCAGTCACTTGAGGCCAACCGTTGCTAACGTGGCAAAACACCGCCTTCCGTTTCTTCCCGGAAGTCACCAACTTGAGCAGTGATCTCCATTTGCTGAAGTCCCTGGAAAAATAATCCACCTAAAGCCAAGATGGGAAAATAAGAAAACCTAGTTTGATACAATTGGAAGGTGCCCAGTCCTGAATCCCCATAGTGATTCGGGCCCTCCAATGTTGAAGGCCTGGTTTGGACACATGAAGGAACATGTCCGCGGATGACTATGGGCGGACTTGCCTTGTATTTAGCTGGTCATGTGTCACAAAGGGGAGCGATGTGCGGCTGAGTGAAACATTGGAGCCAATCAACCAAAACCCGGTATGCCAGCAGCATGGCTCTCAAGCATGCGAATGCCCTGCCAGCCTCTTGGTTGCTCTCGTCCCCATATGAACGGGGATTCAGAAATGTGGCAATTAGCTACCTTCCCAGGAACAGACCCCCAAACTCCCAAACCTGCAGAACCTACCCCATAAAAGCCTGCGGTTGTTGAACAGGAGAGGCCTGGCAGCGGCAGCTTTCTATATTTCATCCTGTCCCTTTCCCGTCCACATTGCAACCAGTTTTTGAGACATCCCACAAACAAACACGGCGTGGTGCACAGAGCAAATTTGAAAACGGGTGTTTAAAAGGGTCTTTGTGGTCAAAACCGGGACTACAACGAAGGTCCTAAAGCCGGGCACCTCCCAAACATCTTTGGTTTCCGTGCGGTTTCCTTGTTCCCCTGAAACAACAACAAAAGACACACCCACTGAAGAAGGGGGATGCGCACTTGGACGCTCAATCAAAATAGAAAGAAGGTTCGCCTCGGCCCCCAGGGCTGGGAAGCGGTCAGAAAACCTTTTCGGATCTAAACCCAAAATTAGTCCGTCCAACCCCCCGACCCCATGTCGCGCGGCCAAAATCCCTGCTCCAGCTGCAAGCAAGCCTGGAGGTCAGACATCGGCAGAGCCCGAAACCTGCCCAATTCCTTTGTTCCCAATTGAACATCTGCAAGCACAGGTCCCCTTCTAGAAGCCGATAGAAACGGGTCAACTTCCCATCTGGCTCCGGTCAAATCCCGCTAGAAACCGGCAAAATTCCCTTAAAACCGGGCAAATTCCCCTTCAGAAACCAATCAAATCCCCCCAAATCCCCCCTGAAAACAGGTCCAACTCCCGTCAAATCCCCCTAGACACCGGCAAAATCCACCCCACAAAAAAAACAGTCAAGTTCCATAGAATTTTTGGACCTGCGCGTGGCCCACCATTCTGTAGCTCTCTGTGGCTCTCGTTCTGGGAAGCCAGGTGGAATGCCGCGGACATGCACCCACTCTAGCTTGGGCGCCGACTCGCTCACTTTAATAACAACACTTCAAGGCAAACTAAAGCACAGTATATACCTCAAAGCCAGCCAAAAGCGGACTGGCCGAGGCGGGCAACGCGAAGCGTTTACAATTATAAGTTCAAGTCATAAGGGGACTAAGCCCAGCTAGAAAGTAGGTTCTTACCATGGTTACAAGTTATAAGGGCCGGGTGCTCAAGCTATAATCATGGCTACAGCCTGCTTACTTCGTTGGCTGAACATCCAATCAAGGAAGCACCAGTCGGTCAATCCGCGGCCTAAGGCCTTCTCAGAGCGCACCAGCAGGCCGCCGGAGAGATTGCCGCCCACCACCTCCCAGGTCTGAACCGTCTTCATCGCCTGCGCAAGACGTTGAACACGTCGTTTGTGCCTTTGGCTTCCTAGCCGAAGCATCACTCAAATGCTCAGTGGATTTCCATGGGGAAAAATTGGCATCCTTGTTTGGTTGGTTGAGTTAGGGGAACTCAGCAAAAAAAAGAGACAAAGGACGCCACTGGGCAATTGGGATCATGGGACCCTCCATTGGAAGCCTCAAAAAGAGCCTCTTTGCGCGAAACACACTCATCGCTCCATGCCCCAATGGGATTTGCACGAGCCGTCCTCGTGGCCTCTGGAAAGACAATTTGGCCTGAGCAGCTTTGATGATACGTGAGATGCGAGGAGCTCATTGGCATTCTTTAGCGCCTCGCTCCGACAAACAAAGCACCGCAAATAGTCGGAGATACAGCGCAGTGTCCGTGAAACCTGGGCTTTTTACTGGCCTACAGCATCGGGAACATTTTTTCAAGATTTTGCCAACTGCTCTCTATACAGTGCGTTCACATCTTAAACATGGCAGGGTTGGCTGCTTCCGCGCTACTCCTTGCCCCCTCAGCCTCACAGACCCCGGCTTACAACGCATCGTGACTGTGCGTGGCGTTCATGTTTGCACGCGCAACTCAGACCCTTGTTTGCCGACAGCCAGGACAAATCATTGGCGGACGAAGCAAGTGTATGTGTTCAACATGATATATGTTTAGTCAAAGCAGTACAGCAGAAAGGTTAGAATAAGGGTACCCTTCTTTTTGTAGGGGAACCCTCCCAACCAAAAAGAAACGGGAAAAGGGCACCTAGCTGGCGGACCTAGACATATTCCTTTTCCTCTATCGATTCCAAGATCGGGCTTCCAGCTCCCGACACCTGAAAGACCCCTTTCAGCGAAACTCTGGGGCCCAACCACCGGAGGAACCCCCACGGGAGGTCCTGGAAGGGGGTGAAAAAGAAAAACCGCATTCTTCCATGCGCAAGAGCTCCGGTGCTGTTGAATCCCAAACTCCGCCATCTGTCGCCAAGCGCGCCTTGCAGTCATCTGCCAGGATGTGCCATGGCCAGAACAGGGCCCACAAGTGCTGGTTGCCTGGGTAGAATCCCGGGTCGTTAGGAAGCAACCGTGAGCTACGATTCCTCATCTTCTAAGAGTCATTTATGCAAGCTTGTCATGTGAAGCTTGACCAAGAGGTTTGTGGCTGCTTCACATCCTCTAAGGCCTCATGTGTCCCAAGCAGTTCTCTTACAGCATCTCTGTTTTTTCGCTGCAGTCCCGCTCTTCAAGGAGGCTGTCTCATCAAGGAACTTCTTGTAGGCCCTTGCATGCTGCTCATGGCCGAAACAATTCAAGCCAATCCAATTGAATGCACCCACCACATGTACACATCCCTGCTGACGTGGTCTTTCCTGTAGCCATGGAGTCATCATTAGTCAACCTAAATAATACCCCCTTGAGCCAAAATGCCAGTCACAGCGATCCTGCTGGCAACAAACCAAGCGGTTCGTCTTATTTGGTTCAACTCAAGTGTAACAGTTTGGACCAGTTGAAATCATCGTTTTCGAAAGCGAACCAACGATTCAACATACGCTTGGGACTTCCAGGTTCAACATGTTCAACCAAAAAATACCAAAAAGGACTTTGACATTTGGCCCAGGAAATGGTTGCTCCGGATGGGTCTAGGTTCAACATCTCCCGGTTGAGATGAGCCAAACACCCTGCAAGGAGACGAAGTGGGTTCCCCTAGCCTCAGCAAATGGAATTGAGGCAGCAATTTTCCCTCGGGCCCAGTCAATTGCTGATGAGAGAAGTCCATAAGACCCATTTACAAAAGGTGTGAATGGCTCCACTGCACGTCTGGCTTGACAATTTCCACTTCTGAGCTTGAACAATGCGAGTCTCAAATAAGTGAGGCCTGCTGAAAAATGGACGGAACCCAAAGCTCCCATCAGCCTGTACATACAAGACCAATAGGTCTGGGAACCAAAGCACGCCAAACAAGCACGTGCCCAAGCAGCTGTGAAGCCCTCATACCTCTCCCCAAATGATCGGATATCAAGGAGAAACTGCCCGTTCGCGGGCTTCGCATTGGCTGGCCCAGCTCAATTCTTCAGACTTTGTCAAATGGGTGTGGCTCAAAATTAAACAGGAGGGGTTACGCAGGTTTTGGTCCATGTTTCCACTTTCCAGGGTTCCATGTTGGCACCGGATGCTTGAGCCACAGCCAAATGTCCAAAACAACCTCACTGAACCTGCAAGGCTCTGACCCTCATTTAAGGAGCCCTTTCCGAGCCGAAGGGACTTGTCTTCACCATGTCGAAGTGTTTGCCCGAAAGTTTGAGCATAGACTCATGGGATTTCGGTGCTGTTTTTGGAGCCTTCTGAAGGGCTCTCTTGGGCCCATCTCTACCGTTTACCCACGGAGGGCGCCTTCAGCCTCGCGATGACCCTATGTCCGCGTTGGATCGGGAGATGCCATGCCAAGATGCCAAGGGTGAGAAAGGGAACCTGAGGCATGCTCCCATCCAGTTTCTTCAACAGTCATCCCTTTTGAGAAATCGATTTAGCGGTTGACCTACACGTCTATCCCTTATCAATGGGTGGGGGAATTGGCGGCCCGATTGATATATCGCATATCCGGCAAAGGGATCACAGCTGTCGCCAGGGCTCCCTGCCAACAGCAAAGCTCCCAGTTGGCGTCAGCAAGCGGAGCGTTCCGCTGTGGGTTTTCAGCGGGAGGCCAACAATATGTAATATGCTGCAGCGGGTTCTGTGCTCTCCAAAGCTGAAGCTGGGTGTGCAAAACCATTGCATGTGCGACATGGGCTTCAATCTGCAAAGTGTAGCTTGAAATGGTCAGGTCTCAAACCACCGACCGCCCCTCCTAAATCCTACAGTGGAAGCTTGTGCAGATGCGGCTGCAAGCAGCTGAGACACTTGAACATGACCCATCCCAAAGCAGCCAGCCATCCTCCATTGCCAGCAAGCCTTCCAACCATGCTGCTACTTGGATGTTCAGCCAACTTTGCAAGCAGGTTACAACTATGAATACATGGGGACTAACCCCGGCCACCCAAGTCATAACCATGGTTAGAACCTACTTACTAAGTTGTGAACATCCAAGTACAGTATGTTTGTCCTATGCCGAACCGTTTGACGAGAGCTCGTGAATTGCATCAGCATCCAAGTCTTCCGGATGGTATGGGAGTGAACAAGTGTCCAGCAAACACCATCATGACTCCCTGGCTACCCCAGTGCTCAAAGGGGCATAACTTCTAATTAGGGACGTTTGGCGGACATCATTTAGGTGGACATTCATGTCCACCAACCACTGTTTTCTTTTTTTGGGGAGGGAGTTCCGGGTTCCCATTACAAAATCGTTGCCGAATACCGATTCCAGGAAGAGCCCTTGGCCAACTGAAGCCCGCTGCTCTTCACACTGTCCTGAAAGACTTGGATCAGCTTCACCTTGGATGCCGTCGAAATGCCAAGAAATGGGCAGCTCAGCCTATGCGACCTGGCTTTCCATGCCGTCATACTCCAAGGAATTGGGATGAGAGCAGCGATTGAACGCAAGAGCTACCTACAATGCCATGCTCGAAAGAGTTGGAAGCCTTCTGGCGTAGGATGCCCAAACCCAGCACCTGGGTTGGTCGAAAGCATTCTTTCTTCCGCTGCCCAAATCCCCACTGCCAAGGCACAAGGATTGAAGACAATACAACACAGAAGCAGTCTTTTGCTAATGATTGATTGCAATACCACTGTTGCCCAGGGCTAGTTTGGGACACAGGCGAAAACTGTGTTGGAACAAACTTGATAGAATTTTGGAATCCGCCAGGGAATTGCTGGAAGTTCACATCGGATTTTTGTTCCAACCTTATTCAATTTCCAGGGGGACATAGCAAAGCTACCATTCAGCCTGGAGGAAATCAAGGGCTCGCAAGACGTGCTCTCACAAGAGAGAACCCCAGCTGTGCCTTTTGCCGGTCAATGGAAGGAATCCATCTGAAAACATGTCACCTTTGCTTACCTCAAGGTGTATCGACAAACCTGTCAGACACAGGTCTCAAAGTCATGACCCAACAGGATGCATTCCGAGTGTCATCCTGGAACATGGTACCCCGAAAAAGGTCAGACCAAGGTTTCCATATGTTTCCGTTGCACACCATCCACCAAGGGAGGAAACACCGAAACATGAAACACGCCAGGACCATTTTGCTCCTTGCATAAACAGTTCGGCCCTTCCAATAGGATGTTTTTTTCTTCCCTGTGCGACACGCATTGATTTGCCCAAAGCGGAAGACTCACACGAACATCAAAGCACTCCACCGCTGAACGCCCCTTGCAGACTGCGTGGCGATGTTCGGATGGTCCAGGCCCTTCATGATGTGCAACTGGGGTGCACGGGCGTGTGATTCAGTTGGCAACGCACAGGGTATCTGCAGAAAATGGTGCAGAGATCCATTTTGGTCTTGAGAAAATTACCATACAGTGAATTGGTTGATTCACTACCCTGGGTAAACTCAAAACCCTCAACATGACGCAATGCTAAACATACCGTGGGTGGACAAAATCCTTCACCAGTTGGTAGATGGTTCACCTTAGTGTTTATGGGCGTTTATCCATCCCAGCTGGTGCAGGAGTTTGTCCATCAACAACATCCTCTCCCTCGTTGTCGAATCGCAGAAACTACACCTGCACTTCACTTGGCACTGGTCCAAACTCCCTTTCAGATCGCTCGGGTGCATCCGGGTCTTGAAACCACAAAAGCCATGGAGCCCAGCAATCAAATGCTAAGGAGGTAAGATAGGCTATTCGGATGCTTTCCAGCTGATTCATCTTGCGCTGCAAACTGGGCCATTCAAAGCAGTGTTGGACAATCCTAATCCATACTCCCCATTGACAAACCATACCCTCCGCTTGTAAATGGGGGGGGGAACGAGGTGGGGGGGGTCCAATTAATGTTGGAAATTTCTCAGGGTTAGCCAAAAGGGTCGGATGAGTCCACTATGTCTGTTTCTTCAGGCTCATGCTAATTCATGTCAGAAAATTAGTTGGACCCACCTGAGTCCTTCATTTCTGACTCATCTGACATTATTTGTTTGGCTAACATGGCAAGTGACTTCACAAAAACAACTCTCAAACTTCAGAACTCACCCACCCCTCAATTTATCCATAACCTGAGAAACCCAGCAGGTGCTAGGAAAACACAGAAACTCAAGATAATTGTGCGAGGATATGCTTGGGAAACTAATCAGGGCCCCTGTACAGGTGCAATGTGTGCGTTGGGTTTAAATTGCAGTGTCCCTGTCAGGGAAGCAAATTACTCGATAAACCGCCTGTTCTCACCCTTTTTGCACATGTTTGACTCTGTTCAGAGACTCGGGCACCCCGAAATAATGTTCAATTATTTTGCGCGATTGCTTGCTTTTGTTTGAGATAGTTTGCAATTCTGACCATTTGTCCTGCTGTCTGGTAGTTTGCAGCCGTTAAATTAATCAGGGGCCTCTCCAGTACTGGTAGGGGCAAGCATTTTGCGGACGAAACAAACAAATCAGGGGCCTTCCAGGCGTCTTGGTCTCCCCCCCACCTGACAAACATGGAATGACAACTTATTTTCACAGCTGGGGGCTAGTTAGTTAATTAACCTTTTGCGAGGGGTATGGGCCAACCACTACGAAAACCCGTTCGCAACCGCTTAGGTAAGCACCAATCGCACTGCCTTTGAACACTGCCGGCGGTGCGGTTCAATGAAGGCTTGCATGGAACTAGACTAGCAACGAGGGCTTCTACGTCCAGGCGTGCGGTTCTGACTTCTGGAGAGCGGTGAGTTCTTGCCCCATGGACCGTCCAAAACTCATGGCCGTCTGTTTGGCAGAAGGAGCAAGGCAGCACTTCCCATCTGGATCCTCCTCCGCAGTTGGGCCACTTGGTTGTTTTAACCCGCGGCCTCGTCCCGGGCAGCTTTGTACACCTGGCAATGGCTGGGTTTATCAACCGAATTGAAACGCAACGCGTCAAGAGACAATTACCTGATGGTAAATGCAATTTACATGAATACAATACATATATTATATATATATATATTATCACTTCCTGAGTGGATTGGCCCAGGAAAG